GCGACGCATGAATGGAGCTCCGCTGTACATTAATTTACGAAAATATGAAAATCATAGAATGTATAAGAGCTCTTCTGAAAGAGGATCGTCCGCCATTTTGGCAGCGCGATGACGTCAGAATTTCTACAACCGCGGTTTGTTAAATGCAAAGGATTTCGCGGCGGGTCAATATTGACTCCTTGCCCTACAACCACGTCTCAGAGACGTAATGATTATCACATCTGAGAGACGTGGTCAGACAAATCGGTCCAGAAATGATTATTACGTCCGAGAGACGTGATCAAAGAATCGAGCCAGAAATGATTATCACGTCTAAGAGACGTGGTCAAAAAATTGGCCCAGGAAATGATCGTCACGTCTGCGAGTCGTGGTCCAAAAATTCGTGGTTAAAAAATCGTGGTCAAAATATCAAACCAGAAATGATTATCACGTCTGCGAGAGGTGGTCAAAAATCGGGTTAGAAATGATTATCACGTCTGAGGGACGTGGTCAAAATATCAGTCCAGAAATGATTATCACGTCTGAGAAACGTAGTCAAAAATCATATCAAAAACGATTATCACGTCTGCGAGACGTGAGACGTGCTTCACATTCCGTAAGAAATTCGCGACTGTTACAACTTCGGACGTTTCGCGCAACCGTGAAAAGGCCATAAAACTGAACTTGTTATTCGTAGCACACATTCTTGAAACTTAAATCGTAGAGCGAAGGGTTAAAGCGTTAAATGTTGCATACCACGGATACGAAGACAACAATGGCTATCGAAGTAAAAAACGGCGCGAACGATCGTCGCGCGGTATCTTGCTTAGATATCGAAGCACGATAATTGCTCCGGCCCGCGCCGAGCCATAACGAGGTTCCGCCTCGGGAGCGAGCACGCCATTTCCAGGCTGTCCGTGGTTCCAAAAGAACTGAATCGTCGCTTAATTAACCTGTCAGAACGCAGACGGCCTCTGGTCGCAGCCGCAACGACCGGCTGCAGCTTTTCGGCTGCAACTGCATCGAGCATCCGACGACGACTCCCTGATAATTATTGCCAGTCGGTTCCACCCCCCCCCCCGCCCTCCCGGTCGAACCCGGCAACCATCGAAATAGGATCGATCCGGCGACGGGTATCGGGGCACCGTGATCCACGATTTTCGTGGATCCCCGTGCGAATGAGAAAGCACTCCGCAAGATTGCCCGCCCACCGACCGGATTAAATTAAATCCACGGGAAGGCGGCGCGACGCGGCGCGCTTCGTTATCGGGATGTTTTATTTACGGTACGGCTGCGTCGCGATGCCACGGCGAAATTTAATCGGCGGGGAATTTAGCGATCGTTAGTCTTTCATCGATGGGAGAGAAGAGGCTGCCCTCGAGGCCGGCTGCAAAAAAATTAACGTACGTGCGCTGCAGTCCGTGTTGCGGACGCTTTTTTTATTTTTTACCATCGACGTAGACGCAGAGCCATCCTCCGTAATTCCTGCAACGGTTTCGAACGAGATTGCGGAAATACGTTTTTCGGCTCTTCCTTTATTATCACAGGGTAGTTGTACAGGGTGTCTCATAATTATATTAACACTCGGAGAAGGTAATTCCTGACGTCATTTGAAATAACTTTCTCCTTTGCAAAAATGTTCTCCGAGCCATCGTTTACGAGTTATTAACGAAAAACGTTCGACCAATCAGAGGCGAGCTCGGCTGGCGCGAGGCGACCGAGCCGCGCGCTGGTTGGCTGGGCCGCCTCGCGTTAGCCGTACTCGATTCTTATCGGTCACTGTTTTTTTCTTTTTTTAACCCGTCACTTTCGAATTGCGAGTCATTTTTGGGACACCCGGTATATCAATGGACAATTATTGATTATATCTATGGATCGACTATTGTACGTTCCCGTTGTAATCGCCGCAAAGCGTCCGAAACCTGTGCCCCTGTATTACGAATCGACCATGCTCGTCAACACTGGCAACAATGCCGCTTTCAACGGCAAGATAATCTTTGCCGAAAATTGACGAGCGGGTGGAAACTTTTGTTGTCACAGTTCGCGGTTCAATGATCAGACATAACCGCATTGTCGTCCGCGCGAGCATTGCGGACTCCGAAAGCGACGCGATAGAATAACCGGGAGAAGAAGAATAACCGTTGAGGGGGAAAGAACACAGAATCAACGGATCATAATGGCCGTTCGATAGCCTCGTTGCGGATTCCAGACGATCCTGGGAATTTTTTCATTTCCTCGGCTTTGCACGCGGACGCCGCGCCGCGAAACGCTAATGGAACGGTTTTAGCGGGGCACGCTAATGACGGAGAAATCCGAGCCGCCATAAACGGCCAGTTCCGGTAATCGAGTTTTCCGTTTCCCTCGCTCGAACTTGTTTATTTAATTATAATGACGTAATTACAGTGAATCACACTTATCCCGGCGTGTTCGGGGCTCGCGGAATTTCGAAATTAGCCGGCGCTTTGCTGCCCCTAATCCTATTATCGGCAAGTTCCTGCGATTCCTCCGAATTCCTACGTGCACACCTCCCCCCACCCCTGCGAATATCGCGTTACGAGGACGCGATATCGAGCCGCGCGCACGGGCGCCCGCATAAACAAAACAACGCGTCCATTTGCATCCCGTTACGTAATGTACCGCGCGAGCGACGCGTTCGCGATTTCGTGAACCGCCGCGGCGCGGCGTCCTGTTGCCGGGACGTTCACCGTGCGAACATCGTCGTCCATTATCTGCGTTGCGAGTCAACTTTGATCCGCCGATTTTATTCGAACAATACGTGACAAATGGAAACCGAGCGTACGAATCGCAATCCGTCGTGCATTTTATTTGAGGAGAGCTTTTCGGCTTCGGTTTACGAACAATGGACGAATATGGCATGTTTTATCCGAATAATACATTTGTTCTCGTGTAATAACCCGACAGGTCGAATTGTCCGTTTTCGATCCGCGTCAATGTTAAATAATAGTTTCACATCGGCGGAACTGTCGACGGATTTTCAAGCGAAATTCGCGCGACCGTAGCCGCGTCGAGGAACTTTAATTGCACCCTTGTAAAGGGTGCTCTCCCTCTTTGCGGTTCTATGCTGGATACAAATAAAAACTCGGGAACTAGATTGTGANCGGTCACTGTTTTTTTCTTTTTTTAACCCGTCACTTTCGAATTGCGAGTCATTTTTGGGACACCCGGTATATCAATGGACAATTATTGATTATATCTATGGATCGACTATTGTACGTTCCCGTTGTAATCGCCGCAAAGCGTCCGAAACCTGTGCCCCTGTATTACGAATCGACCATGCTCGTCAACACTGGCAACAATGCCGCTTTCAACGGCAAGATAATCTTTGCCGAAAATTGACGAGCGGGTGGAAACTTTTGTTGTCACAGTTCGCGGTTCAATGATCAGACATAACCGCATTGTCGTCCGCGCGAGCATTGCGGACTCCGAAAGCGACGCGATAGAATAACCGGGAGAAGAAGAATAACCGTTGAGGGGGAAAGAACACAGAATCAACGGATCATAATGGCCGTTCGATAGCCTCGTTGCGGATTCCAGACGATCCTGGGAATTTTTTCATTTCCTCGGCTTTGCACGCGGACGCCGCGCCGCGAAACGCTAATGGAACGGTTTTAGCGGGGCACGCTAATGACGGAGAAATCCGAGCCGCCATAAACGGCCAGTTCCGGTAATCGAGTTTTCCGTTTCCCTCGCTCGAACTTGTTTATTTAATTATAATGACGTAATTACAGTGAATCACACTTATCCCGGCGTGTTCGGGGCTCGCGGAATTTCGAAATTAGCCGGCGCTTTGCTGCCCCTAATCCTATTATCGGCAAGTTCCTGCGATTCCTCCGAATTCCTACGTGCACACCTCCCCCCACCCCTGCGAATATCGCGTTACGAGGACGCGATATCGAGCCGCGCGCACGGGCGCCCGCATAAACAAAACAACGCGTCCATTTGCATCCCGTTACGTAATGTACCGCGCGAGCGACGCGTTCGCGATTTCGTGAACCGCCGCGGCGCGGCGTCCTGTTGCCGGGACGTTCACCGTGCGAACATCGTCGTCCATTATCTGCGTTGCGAGTCAACTTTGATCCGCCGATTTTATTCGAACAATACGTGACAAATGGAAACCGAGCGTACGAATCGCAATCCGTCGTGCATTTTATTTGAGGAGAGCTTTTCGGCTTCGGTTTACGAACAATGGACGAATATGGCATGTTTTATCCGAATAATACATTTGTTCTCGTGTAATAACCCGACAGGTCGAATTGTCCGTTTTCGATCCGCGTCAATGTTAAATAATAGTTTCACATCGGCGGAACTGTCGACGGATTTTCAAGCGAAATTCGCGCGACCGTAGCCGCGTCGAGGAACTTTAATTGCACCCTTGTAAAGGGTGCTCTCCCTCTTTGCGGTTCTATGCTGGATACAAATAAAAACTCGGGAACTAGATTGTGAAAGTTTTATAATGAATTTTTGCACTGAACAGCCGCTGCGTTGAATTTATTTATTGACTTTCTAAGAAGTATGAACTGAAATCTGTATAAAAGTTTTATTATTAAATAATGAAGCATCGTGAAAGAATTTTGTTAACGGTGAAACAACGGCATGGTCGACCTAAAGAGATCAATTTCTTTTTATTAAGAAAATTATATATGTACAAAATTAATTGCTTACAGTAATTTTTCCAAAAATTCGTCTGACGATGACTGCGCAGATTTGTCGTTTCTTTTAATTAACAATAGTCTAACCGCCCAACAGCATTTAGTACGGATCGTTTCGCCGTAAAATTTCTCTTTGTTAATCTAGCTAATCCTTGTTTAAAACGCCTAGAACATTCGTTACTTTATTTAGTCGCTTTCCAGGAACCGTTTGTTATCCCTAATTATTAATTCGTTAAAACATTACCGAAGGACAATTGAAAAAAAATTAGGGCGATAGACGTGCATATTTGAATTTGCTAAAGAATAGAGCCGGTTGCGCCATCATGCGGCCAACTTCGGGACTAATTTCGCGCTTGTATTCGTAGCAAGCCTCGTACCATTCCGATAAAAAATTGACGATTATGCGAGAGAGACGAAATGATTTAGCGTGATCGATGTCTCCAGCGAAGATTTAGATCTACGCGGTAAGTTGATAATGTTTGCAACTACCGTGAACATTGATTTGCTGAAAAATTTCGATTAATGTCCGCGGCCGCGACTTAGCCTAATGTTGACAAATGCGAATTCAAATAACCTAAGAAATCCACCATTTTCGGATTGCGAGACATTTTTGGGACACCCTGCATAATGCAAGCAATATGAACAATATTATTTCAAACGAGAACTTCTCAACGCGCCATCTTGACATTATTACTTAGTAACGTTAACGATTGTAAATTTGAACGGGTTCTATCGAACCGATCTTTTCCTTATTACACATTGTAATGGTTCACTTTTAAAGACATGTTACAAAACATCCAGAATAATTCCTGTTAAATAGAGCCACGCCTGTGTGTATATATTACAATAATTAATTCATTGTTTCAGAGTGCCCAAGAGTGGCCGCAAAGTATTCCCGAATCATCGTTAATCAATCATGGCTGAAGACTGCTGTTCGACGTTTCATCGGATACGTAATTTAACCTTAATCAACATTTTCGCCTGAAACCATATTTCACTGTTCACGAGAGGTTTGAGCAATTCCGTGGGCTAAAATATATTCGTTGAGAACGACAGGATTCGACTCAGACATTCGAGAAGATTTAATTTAAAAAATACACTTTATGTATATTTACAACTTCATTACATGCTTGAAGTAGCATGAGTACACCGATATTTTTCCGAAATTACGGAACAATTAGTACATCGTTCCAATGGCTTGTTCTACTTTCGTTTACAGAACATTCCCCCCCCCCTTCCTCACGAATAATTGCGAGAAGCCGATAACATAAAACAATATCGGAATTTCGTACGAAACAGATTCGATTCAGATTTATACCCCCACAGTGTTGTTTTATCTTCTTCTTCTTCTTCTTCATAGCACATTTCACTGAAAGTTGTTTGCTCGATTACAAAATGTATTTCACGCAAACTATACAAGCTTCGTACAGCGGTACCATTCGTTGCCTGTACTTTATAAATAATGTTCGTACAAAAACAAGCGCCGACTGGGACAACAGTATACAACACTACCTCGTTCGTTCACCGAACGATTGGCAATTAAACCTAGAACGAATATCAACACAGCAATTCAAAACCTACGGATCATTGAAATGTGCAAGTACACTCCTTGCAAATATCTATGGATCCGAAAGGTGTGGATACAAGTCTGTCGTGTGATATCGTTTAGACATAACGTTGATGCGGGGAAGGTCGCATCGATAGTCACTGGATCTCGAAGAGTACGCACTAGGATTCGGACAAGATGTCCTCGAGGGTTTTATCGTCGTGCAGGGGCGAGTGTCCTAACGTCGGGTCGCTCTCCAAAAATTCCCGCAGCTCGGTTTCTAGGTCAGGAACAGCGGACGTCTCCGCGGTGCTCAGCAAAGTCGACGGTGTTTGACTGTGCGTCATGCCGATCTGTATCTGGATCGGTGCTTGATTAGTATTCACGATACTGATCGTCGGGGCTTGTTGGCTGGTCGGGCTGAGCAAATTCGCGTTCTGAATAGGCGACGGCGCCGACAAAAGGCTCGCCGGGACTTGATTATTGTTCGCTTGCGACAACAGATTATTCTCAGCGACGATTGTTGGATTGTGCGTAATTGGCTCGACCTCCATGGGCTCGGGACCGCCCAGGGGTGCTATTCCCATTGCCCTCCGGAGACCGTCGACGGGAGCGATGGCGGATGGTGGTAGTTTCTTCGCTATCTCTGTGAGATTGTCCGTGATCTTGTCGGCCAGGGCCACTTCGTTCTCAGACGGTTTAGGAACGTTTGATAGATGAGCGGGGGGCGGGCCCGACAGACGGTCGTGTTGAGCCTGTTTCAGACGGCCTATCATCTGAGACGTGTCGTCCAAGCGAGTCTGCAGGGCTGCGCGTTCCTCGCTTATTTTCACGTCGTCTTCTGCAAAAGGAAGTACAATGTAACATCATCGTCACAAAAAAAAATAGGATATATATAATATAATTATAATAAATAATATTATAAATATATATATATATAATTACCTAGGTTCTCCAAGAAGTTCACGTCGATTCCCAGTTCCGAGAGAGTCTTCAGTTGGTCGATGTCCACCTTGACGTTGTCCATGGCTGGGACATTTCGGTGGACATCCTGCATAGGCTTCTCCAGCAGATGTTTGATCTTCTCCTCCTCTTCCTTGAGCCGCCGCTTCTCCTCGAGGAACTTCTTGGTCTTTCTGTGATCCCCGGCCGTCAAGATATCCAACAGATCGTCTACCATAGTTAATGTATAATCACAGTCTTTAGCGAAGTCTAGAATCGATTCTGCGTACTGTACAGCCGTCTCGTCGCCGTAGGTCTGGTACACCAAGTCAGTTTCCTCTTTAGTTAAGTTAGCGAACGTGGAATCGTAACTTGGAGCATAAGAACCGAAGGCACCATAGTATAAGGGTTTCACCGGCTTGGACATGTTCCGCCTGTCTTCACGGAATCCTGCCAACGCGCCCGTACCGTGATTCAGTTTGCCAATGAGCTGACCCAAGGACACGGGCCTCTGATTCGTTCCTGGAATCACACCGTCTCCCGGTACTATTATCTGCAAGCTAGTGGTCCCATCTTTTTTCTGCCTGAGGAAACCCATCTTCGAGTTCAGCCTCTTCAGAGATAATTTCTCCGCCGCTGCTTTCGCGGCTCCGCGGGCCTGCTTCAAAATTTCTTCCGGCGTCAGGTCGTCGGGAATCGCTTCAAATTTACCTAAATTCGCTAGTCTCATCTTTCTCTGATTCTCTTTCCGGAGTTCCTCCGCCTCTTCGTTGCGCTCCTCCTGCTCCCGTTCGCGTTCTATCTGCTCCTCCGTGATCGGAGCGTCGGGATTATTTGGATCCTCGGTTCCCAATTCGAAGCCGAGCTCCTCCTTCGAGATATCCTGCATATAGGTCAGGACAGGTCTCAATTGCCTAAGCTTCTCAGGTGTGACCATCTTCAGGCCAACGTGCAACAACTTCTTCGCTGCCTTGAAGTAAATCGTATCGGGCTGGTTGTATGTAGTAGCGTTATCACACATTAGCTTAAAGTCGTCTATAAATTCGTTTAAGTTCTGATAGCTATTGTCGTCTATCTTCTGCTTGATGGTGCTGAAATCCATAGGACTTGTGATAATTTGAGAATACCCGGGGGCAATGCTGTCCGTGACCGGCCAAGCAAAGAATTGCTGTGGGTCACGTTTCTCCATTGACCTAAGCAGGTGTTCTAGTAACCGTTGGAGCGGAGTACGCTCCGCAATTTTCCTAAGTACGCATGTTCTCGGCTCCCTGTGGGGGGACAGGGAGCTGATTTGATTGGTGACACCCACTCTATGTTCACCGGCAGTCGGGTGTCTTGGGACTAACAGTTGATGATTAGGAATCTTTTTAGGGACTTCGACCATACTCTCGTCCGCGTCGCCGACCGATTCCTGACTGGACTCCTCCCTTCGTCTCTTTTTGTCCTTGTGGTGGTGCTTGTGCCGCTTGTCCTTCTTTTTCTTTTTCTTCTTTAGCTTTTTGTGACCGATGTACCTGTCATACTCTGAATCCTGCGTTACGGAACAGTTGAGACCCATCTGTTGCTGGTAAACACCCAAATGTTGGGACAACATCGTTGCCTGGCTTGGTTCGTTGATGTATTCAGTTATACCGCTGCTACCTCCTACTTTTAGAATGAGCTTTAAAGTAGGGGGTTTGTCCGTGGTTGAATACTGCCCTTCTGTTAAAGAGAAAAGACCAGGCGTTAGTTACGACTCGACAGAACTGAGACCGATAATATCAAACGTGTAAAAAGAAAAATATATAAAGCATCAAAAGCTATAAATAATGATGATTGCAAATCTATTGCATGCAATATAAGTGTCTTGCAGAAAATCATACAAAGGTGCAGAATATTGTTGTAATGTAAAATATAGTGGCGAATGTTGCGTCGTGTAATCTTGCAGGATCATTAGAAGTGTAGACTTAAATCAATAAAATCTACAGGAAGTCGACAGAAAGGTAGAAGGAGATGCTGACAACAATAATAATAATAAAGATGACTTTATAAACAGGACAGTGACCTTGTTTTCACATTCAACAAACCGGAAGCGAGATGGAAGTAGCTTGATTCAAACTAAATAAACCTTGATAGAAGTATGCAATAAAATAATTCTTGTCTAGAATTATGTTCTATTGTATCGCAAAGGAATGATCAGGAAGGAGCGATTGTTTAAATCTTAAAATACCTCACAACGAGGTAAAGCAAAAGCACGAATGGCTGTCGTTGCCATAATATATAACAGCCAGGGAATTAAGTGATTGAAGCGCAACAGACATACCCATGTAACGTAGAACGAAAAGTGTCTTCACGATATAAAAGGAACTTCAATGCATTCCAAACCAACGTAGATCTTGTTGCACTTCAACTGATCTTAACAGACAAAAAAAAAATACTGAAAGGGTTTCGGGGCATTCGAGTAATTTCGGAAGCACAGCTAGTTTCTGTCGTGCAACCAGTCCATGTCCGTTGTTACACGTCACTTACTTCCACGTCGCACCTGTCGCTGTGGAACCTTCGTTTATACTTTTGAATCCACCTCACTTCTACTCCAACCTCACTCTCTCAGTTTGTCCTTGGTGAAAACGCAGTCAATATTCCTGTGCATCATTAAACGATGAGTACAAGAAGGATTCCAATGAAAATGTTAAAGCATATATTACATATATGAACCGCGTACAACAGCCCTTCGGGTTCAGGGCTGTTAAGTCTCTACGAGAGACCACTGCCGGAAGGTACTCTTTTCATTCGAATCCTCGTGCAGTCAACGCAAGCATTGACAAAAGACGTTAAACGTCTCGTGATATTATAATCGGTGCGACATGTTAACAATAACTCGTTTAAAAACACCAACAGCAGCATATATATATATATATATAACTACCAGCCGAATATCAAGTTTAGTGAGGACAGAGTAATCGGGGAAAAAGACCCGTTAGCACGATGCGTCACGCGACGGCCAGGGGAGCGAAGCGACGTAAACAATATGCAAAACCATTCCGATAACACCGGGATACGTGATAACGGATTGTCATCGCGAGATTAAAAGTTCGATCGGCGGACTTTCCAGAATGAAAAACAATATCGTATCTCGAGGCGATCGTCGACGGGCGCCGTTTGAATTCCGTTGGCGCGTTCCGAATTCGTCGGTGGGGCCCCAACGGTGCGGGAGAACGGCTGACGGTGCGCGGCAACGATTACATTTCTATGGTGACCGTATGACAACGCGACGACCTACGGTGCCGAGACGACGTCAATGGAACATTGAACATCGGCGAGATCGCGGCAAGACCGACCGAGATATGCCGGAATCGGACCCGGTCCCCTCACCTTCGTGCCTCTCGCGCTTGTGCTTTTTGTGCTTCTTCGAACCCATGGTCTGCAGGCCCGGCCACAGATTGGCGGATATATATCGAACCGGCTGAGAGTAAACACTACGTCGTGAACCACCACGGAACGCGGTTTGCGTGTCTACCGCGTTCCGCTACGTGTGTAGACAGTACGGCGGCGGCCATTGAACATGTCACGAATCTCCAAGCCGTTATGGTGGATGCACGATGCACGGTCTCCCGTTTTCCCCCGCCACGGCACCATTATTCACCAGCTGCGCTATCATGGCGGCGCGTCGCTCTCGACACCGGCGCGGAATTCAAACGATCACCGACCGTCCGCGCGCCGTTACGAAAACATACGTTCAGTTTACCCGGACGAAATCAAATTTCACAGCGTAGAAATGCTGCCGGTTACGATCAGCAATTGTTTCATGTCAATTTGGTAATTCGTTCGCGATATATTCAAATAATAACGGGCACAGCGGCCTCGAGTCGACATCGCAATAGCGCGCTGCTCTCGATTGGCTCGCGATTCGAATCGATTCGAACGACAACGCGTTCTCTATTATTCCTCACGTTCGTTTCGTTTACACAAAATGAAATTCTACAGCGTACGAATGCTATTAGAGTTGACTATTACTTATTTCATGTTTTCTAAACGGCAGAAAGTGCGACTTGCCTGCGATATTCGAATGCGATTGTCAATCGTTGTTGTTTTCGTAATTCGTAAAACGAGATTTGATGAAATGCGAACGCAAGTTCGAACCGATCGCGAGAATCGATAAGGAATTGAGCGGAATCGAGCCGAGGGTAAAGCGTAATGGCGGCTGGTCGTTGAAATTGGCGCGCGATTCGAACGCTCTGTAGCGTCGCCTTGCAGTCGCACCTCTTTGTCACGATTCTCTCGCGAGAGTTGCCTTTCTCGATCGAAAGCGTGAAACGCGAATGCGCTTGCACTCGACCCGTTAATCCTCCGCCTTACTCAGGGAATATTTTCTCGAACTGGAGGACCGTTATTAAATCAACACAGGTTCACAATTATACGGAACAGGCCCCCGTGTGGGCCTGGAAAGCGAGCCGACCACAATTCCATTTAACACCGCAATGCAGCCGTTGGACGACGGTCATATTTCTGTCGGTTCAATGAATTCCGCCCACGGGGCAACCCGAGCGCATCCAATTAACCTGTTAACCGGCAGATTTTATCGACCATGAGGCACACAGATACGCACACGCACACGCACACGATCGAGCCCGAAGATGATTAACAACAGCCTATATGCCAGAGCACAGCGTCCGCGCGCATCGGTGATCCGATTAGAAGAGACGACGGAAAATGTTCGGTTTGCATACAAACGACAAGAAGACCGGAGAGCCCGGAAGGACGCCTTGCGAGCCGCATTCTCGTCGGTTTATAATCCTCTGGCGGCGGAAGGAAGGAAGAGAGTGCGGCTAATGCTTCGAGCTCGACGTCTGCTTCGGGATGAGACGAGGAAAATCGGATTCCGACTGGGCAGCGTCCGCGTCCGCGCGTCCACGGAAACGTTTCGAATTGATGATGGCTGGTCGAGCGACCGCCGACCGGTGCAGCCTGCACCGTTGCAGGGCGTAATGCATCGACGAGCAGCGATGCAGCGCCGCGTTGTGCACGGGCCTTTAAAAGGCGAGAGGCGCTTCCTAACCTAGAAAAGACGCTTCGAGTAGGCAGCACTTACCGACCAGACGCTCGACCGTGTTCGCAGGCACGCTTTAACCGAGCGTTCGGGGGCTGAGCAGGACACGCCGGGTGGCTCGGGTAATCCGGAATCGGGTAATCCGGAGGAGGACGGTGAGGGCTCTGCGGCTGCGGCGGCGTCGACCACGACAACGGCGACGGCGACGGCGGCGGCGATCAGCGACGACGGGCTCAACGCTCTTCCGCGATTAAAGGGGCGACGATCAGCTGTTTCGATAAAACGCCGCAAGAGGAACGGAGAGGGAGAGGGCGGCTGCCGAGAGAGAAAGCCTCGAGAGACCGACGATGGCTCCGCGGCTCTCCGAGGAAAGCGAGCGCGTCGCGCGGAAACGGGACGCGAGCCACGGGCGCGAGAGGCGTCTGGTCTGATCTTTGCCGGCCGTCGCGAAGCCCCGAGAGCCCGGCACTGTTGCTAGTCCTACTGTCCTGGTCTCTCCTCTACTGCCTCACGCTCTCGGTCGTCCCTTTAAACTCGAAACGGCCCTGCCTCCGCACGAGGCCCGCCGACAACCGTGTCCTCCTACCTGCCCGCTCGGCGACGCCGACGCGGCCGCCACGGGAAACCGTGGACCCAAGGATTCCTTTTCTGCCGACGGCCGACGGCCAAGGAACCGCGTCACGTAGCGAGCGTCCACCATTTTCGCCACCGGGTTTCCCGCTGTCGCTACGGGCTCCCTCGGGCCGCCGCGACGGCGGCCGACTACGCTCCAGTCCCGGAGCGACGAGAACAACGGTCGTTACGTGTTACCAGCTGCGAAACGCCGAGCCGAGGTACACTCGAACCTGTCGCGTACTCGGCCACTGAACGCCCGACAGATATATTAATGACGTGAACACGGCCGCGCATTGTTCGACCGAACAAAAGGGACGCCGCGCGACAATGCTCTCGACTTCAAGGACCGGGATTCGAACGATACGCGTCGCAATCTTCCAGCGAACTTCTCTCACGGACGGAGATCCGCTACCTGTGCGGCGGCTCGTTGCCTTTGACCCTTTGTGCATTAAATTGCCCGTCGGCGCAGGTAGTCTTGTTGCTTTTGTCGAGGTGATCCGGGATCGACGGGTTCGTCGGCTACGAGTTTCCATGGAAATTAGTGGGCGAAATTGAACGCGGCATAATTATATATATAATTTAAGTTTGATTGTTTCAGTTTATATAGATATACATATAAACTTAAACAATTTATATATATAATATAGTATAATATAATATAATATATATATAATATAGTATAATATAGTATATATATAATATAATATATACAATAATTGTTATATATATAAATATATATATATATATATTTTTATAGTTGCCGATCATCAACAATTATAAAAATGAAGTGCGAGGCTCGAATAATCGCATCTCCCCTTCTCAAAATTGATAAACAAAAATTTCAAATTTTCCTTTCGTCAAAATTAATTCCGCGATGTGCAGTAAAATTTAAATCCCAATTTTCTGTCAGCTTGTAAACAAAAATGGACAAAAATTAACACATACACATAACATAAGCAAACAATAACATAAACAAAAATTCTCAAACCGTCCATTTTTGTTCACAAGCTGAAAGAAAAATTGGGGAGAATTTACTGCGTGCCTATTCGCATTGGCCGCGTCCCGTTCGAGTTCGCGGGAAGATCCGCGGCGATATCGCGGGCATTAGCGGATCTGTGTTATGATTCGCCAGTATTACGACTCCCCGGCGTTGCCGTTGCGAAGATAGCCGATGTTATCAAAGCGCAACGGAAGGCTTCATTATCCGATCCGTATCCTATAAATTGATTTATGCGAAGGAAATGTACCAAGGTACGCATGCATATACACATATATACATGCATACATATATGTATGTATGTATATCAGCGCGGACCGCTTTTAACGACACCTCGGCGAAAAGTAATCGCCTGTTCAAGAGATCGCGCGGCGGTGTGCCCGATAAAAGAGCTTCTCGGATATCGGCCGCTGGATAGAGTAGCTTTTTACGAGCCGTCGCTACGGTTATTACCTCCCGTTGGTAGCCGAATGAATTTTTATTGCTGCGACGCCCGTGGCATCGCGACCGCGTCTCAAAAACGCGACCTACGATGTCGCCTCTTCTTATAAAATCTCCGTGGGTCTGTTTTGACCCGTACCATCGCAACAGCCGCACCACGGTGACGCCGGCTCTGACGCAATTATCAGAGGCTTGCGCTTCGTTTTTTACATAATCGCGAATAATCGGCGATTATAAAAATGATCCTCTTCCCCGAAATTGTCCAATTTTTCTGCGCGCAATCTGAGCGCTAATTACGAAGAAATTACTTGTACTCTGTGAAATTTCGTCCGTTCGTTTCTGCCGTAATTGCACGCGTCCCTAAACGATCGTCTAAACGAGCTCCGCTCGATCGAATCATACAGGTCTAGTGTAATAATTTTTTAAAACTAACTCATTTAAACGAAACAAAACAATTTAATCAACGATATAGTCGCCGTTGTTTCCAGCTACTTGTGCCCAACGCTTAATTAGGTTAAAAACAGGTTATGTCAAGATTATGTCAAATAAAAAAAAAACAGGTTATAATTATTACTAGACCTAATAAAATCCTATCCGCTTCGAAAGCTTCGATTAGACGGAATTAGCTATGGAGCGCGAAATTAGCGAATTATTGTCCATGATAACATTCGCGGATTCATGTAATCCGAAATTGAAATCTCAGGTATCGACCAGTCCAAAATTCTCGCGCGAAAGATCCGTGCAAGATTCTCGCGTAGCTCCACAAACTTTCCACTAGTAAACGTGCGTGCGGCTACAATGCGAGAGTCGTCGAGCGAACGCGTCGACTCGTCCGGTTTTCCGCTAATTCGCGCAACGCCGCGGGCTGGGCGGACGCCTCGTGACAGATAAGGATCGCGCGGGGTAAACAGAGTCGGTTTTATAATTCGGTAGATAATTTGGTAGATCAGAGAGATAAAGAGAGAAGAAGAGAACAAAGAGAAGGCGCGTACCGCGTTATAGACACCGCGGAACGCGAACGGAAAGCGAACGTTTCTCGACTGTCGAGTTTCCCCCGTGATCCCGCGAGCAGAGAGAGCCTTCCGCTTCCTGCTGCCACCTGGAACTGGATCCGGGCAACCGCGAGCCGAAAGTTTCGCGATCCGCGCCGCGCAGCGAAACGAACGTGGCGCGGCTAGCGTTCGCGCGCTCGGACACGCGTTTATCAACGGAAACCCCGAAATCAGGGTTATTTGAAATTATATATATTATTAAATATATATTAAATATATTACTTGTGTGTAATTATATATATATTATTAAATATATATTAATTAGTCGCATAATTTCTCTCTCTCTCTCTCTCTCTCTCTCTCAGGGTTATAATATATACGATATCAAATAATATATATTTAATATATATATTTAATATATATATTTAATAATATATAGTTTCAAATAATATCCTGAAATTATGCGACGGGAAATTCCGGCGATCCCGAATAGAGGGCGAAGCTACGATCGGCCGCGAAGATTCACGAACATCCGCGATACCGATCTGCGAACGTGTTGCTGATCGCCGGAGATCCAATTGACAATTATACATGTGCACAGGTGTACTGAGCACATTTCGAGGCGGCCGCACTTAAAGAGATTCCGCGATAATCAATACTCGGCCGTGGTAACGCCGCACAGTGGAACGGAACAACACATCCGTGTTTCCTTGGACATCGTCCGGCCGAAATTGATCGTCGATATACATATTTCTGCCGCGGCTTCGTGAAATCGTTGTGGAAAACGGACGGAGGATTTTATGGATTTACATCGTGAAGCATGTTGACACGGAAATAGGAAATGGGAAGACTATGTCGGAAGAATAAAAGGATCGCAGGCCTGTTATTTTTAACCTGTCGGAACTGTTTTAACGCTTTCGCGACAGCGCCCGATAACCTCAAAAAATGTTCGTAAGATTTAAACTAGATTTAAACTTAATAAAATCATTCTGGACACTATAAACGGATTCGAAGATAATTTCACGGTAGTGGAACGGCACTGTACTTCGGTGGACAATGAGGTTTGACATAACCTCATAATTTTTCTCTACTTCCTAATTCACCTTTTCTTTTCTCATTTTTCGTTTGTGTGTTTCTTATGCTACGATCATTTATTACAGATTTAATGAAGCTATAGTACAACGTTACAACAACGTACAGTTAAATTAAAAAATATATATAAATATATATATTTTTTTTTTTTCGCGAATATTTCATACGATCCAAGTACGTTATCCAACGAAAATTAAAACCGGAAAGTCGGGTGCTATTACATCGATTAAAGTCAGAATAGAGAAGCGTGGAGATTAAATCAATTAAATCAAATCTTCGCGAATAATTCCGTCATCCGCGCTCGGACGACGCGGCGACGGTTCAAGTTTTAATTGGCAACATTCAATCTTCGGAATATATCAACGCCTTCGCGTATCGTAAATAGACCTCTCTCTCTCTCTCTCTCTCTCTCTCTCTCTCTCTCTCTCTCTGCGAAAATCACTGCGCGAAATAAAAATCTTTCGCGTTTCTCTCTGCAGGAAAAAACGGGTGCCCAGGAATTTCTTTCTCTCGTTCTCAATTAATTTTGCCGCATCGAGCCTGTTCTGCATGCCTTCTTAGAAACAGTTTGCGTCATCGATACAGCAAGTCGGCACAATCTAATCGTAAATATACAACGAGCTATAAAAGCTTCATAAGAATCTATTTCCACTTAGAATTTTCGAGGCTAAAAATATAACCGGACGTCGCTGCGAAGCGCAGACGTTCGAAACCGATTTTTGTTCCTTCTTTTCTCGAGGCTCCGGGACGCTCCCAAAACGCTTCGCGTCTCTGTGTCTGTGCCTAAATCGTTTAACGCGTCAGCTGACTTAACCGGTTAGCACATACAGAGTGACCCAAAATTATTGTACGAACGGGAAATGAAGGGTTCCTCGGGTCACTTAAAATAACTTTTTCCTTAGCAAAAATGCAATCCGCGGCTTCGTTAAAATATAATGATGTAATGATAAAATTTGTTGCAACTGAGCGGTTCCTGAGGTCATTTAAAGCAACTTTTTCCTTTACAACAATTTTCTCCGAGGCGTCGTTGACGAGATATTAACGAAAAACGTTGACCAATGGGCGCCGAGATCGGCTGGCGCGAGGCGGCCGAGCCAATCAGTGGAACGGGGCTTCGCGCGCTCGTTGGCTGCGCCGCCTCGCGCCTATTCGAGCTCGCCGCTTATTGGTCACTGTTTTTCGTTAATAACTCGTCAACGGTGCATCGGAAAAGATTTTTGTAAAGGAAAAAGTTGCTTCAAATGACCTGAGGAACCCCTCAGTTATAAAAAATATTAACATTACGAAATTTTTACGCGCCCTGAAAAGGTGTCACAGTTGGCTGGTTAACACGTTCAACGCCGACGATCGAGCACTAAAATTTCCACAAAGTCAAAGCAATTCGATTAATTAAACCGAAGTTAGAAAGTTAAAATTTACCACAATGAATCATAATTAAATTCAGTTCGTTCGAATGTATCGCAACGAAAATATATTTTCAAAATTGATCAGAAATTAGTGTCGCTACATGCGGCGCTCGACGTGTTAAAAAAACAGCTCGACGAACGTACGCTTGCGAAAAGGCGGCGAGAGTTACGTGTTTCCGTTTTGAATGAAATCGACTTGTGCGTGCGGCAGGGGTTGAACGGAGAGCAGCGGCGCGCGACAAAAAGATGCGGAGTGACTCATCTAGACCGGTTTAAGACCCCAGCTCTATGAAACGTATATACAAGGTGTTCCAAGTCGTAGCGAACTACCGCAGTACGCGCGCAGCGGCTTATCTCGAGCGATAAACAACGAGTCGATTCAGCTTCGCTACTACGCTCTCAGAGATACGGCCGGAAACACTGATACGTCCAGCATTGGCAATGATCTTGACGACGGCCTGCGAACGGGGTTAATGGGAAGCCCTTGCCGGCGCAGAGTCGATACGCGTCAGCGTCGACCATAATTTCAGCGAATTGTATATACATACATAAAATAATTATATATATATATGTTATATTATAATATATAATATATTGTAATTATTATAATATATAATATGTAATATATTACATGTAACATGTAATATGTAATTATGTAATAATGTAATGTGTAATAATACAATATGTAATATATAATAATGTAACATGTAACAATGTAATATGTAACAATGTAACAATGTAACATGTAGCAATGTAATATGTAATATGTAACGATGTAATATGTAATATATAACAATGTAACATGTAACGATGTAACATGTAATATATAATATTATATATATATTATATAATAATAT